GAGTTAAATCTTCTTTGGATGCCAGAGATATACTTATTTCTAAGCCATGACTAATACTTGATAATTATTCTATATGCCCCTTTAAAAATTCTAGGTAAGAGAATTAGTTGGGTTAGACTATGGGAAAATTTTGACATTTATAGCTCTTAAATACACACTGACAAAATATTTCATGGATTAGTACAAATACCTTATTACTTTTAGTCATTAATATTTATACAATGTTCTCAGAAATAAATTCAATTTACTGATGTTCAAATTAATAGTTGTGAAAGAAAGAGTATAAATAATCACATAAATTTATACCCAACTAAAGATCCATATAAGTACAATTTTAGATATACTTAATTTTTCATGAAATGTGAGAAATTGTACAAACAGAAGCAAAACTATTTCTGTCAGATAAATAGCCACTATGCACTCAGTCAACTGTTTATATAAATACACTATCTTTCATAATATGAGGATCTTAACAACATAAGGATTTTGATGGATTCTTTAACAAAGTATAAAATTAGATAAGTTATTATTCTGAAAAATCATTTGCCATATTCAGTTACAGCTATGCCAATTTTATGACCCAGGTTATTGACTATTATAGGTAACACAATTCCAATATCATATAAAAAAGAGAAAGACATAAAAAGAAAAAGCTGATTGTTGAGTAGAGAACAATTTTCTGATTCACTATTTCTCCATTTTAAGCCAACCCTGCTGCTTTGCTTTTTATCAGATGCATGGTCAGTAAAAGTGCAACAGATGGTCAAAAATTAAAAGCTTTATAATGAAGTCAGGTGAACATTACCTACTTTGAGTGAATATGTAAATCAGGAGCTGTTTGTTTACAGAGATAAAGAAGCAGTGATAGTATTGAATGTGGCAACACAAGGAGCAGCTTTAGTTCAAATAATAGCAAAATCCCACATTCCAACTGCAACAAATGTTTTAGCTTTACTATAATATATGGAATAAAAATATGACAACAATACCTTGCTCTTGTTGTTATTAGCATGTGTCAAAACTACATACCTTACAAGAAATGTCATTCTCCTATGAATCCCAATGATTATTTTTTAAATTCGACATCTTCCATAATGTAATCCTTTTATAAATTTTACAGTTCTTTTACAAGACTTTATCCCATTATTAGTGTAGTTGATTATTTTGCTGGGTAATGTTCCAAGTATACATAAAACATATGTACATCTTTATATATTGGAATACAGTTTGTATTATAATACGTCATCTCTAAGAAATATTTTGGACTTATTTGCTTTCACCAATTCCAAGTGCATGTTACAGAGCAAGTGAGATTACTATCAATAAAGATGCTCACACAAACCATTATCCTTGTTTTGGCTTAGCACTTTCAAATCTCATACTGATACCTGAATTTGTTGGCAAGCATTGAACCAAAATGTTATGTGTTGCTTTTTACCATGTTATTAGGGAAAACAGGCCAGCACTTTGATTCTGTATTTACACTGCATCTTCAGTCAGTGTCACATTTACAGGTAGGTCACAAATAATGCAAGTTTGAATAATGTGATATTTGATTTAGATACTGGATCACTTTTAATATGCTGCAAGATTTGGTTAATGCAATTAAGGTTAGTGTGTGTGCATTTGTGATTGGGGGATTAGACATTGCTATCTATATTTGTGTAAAATGGAGAAAAGGAATATTCTGTCAGCGGAAAACAGTACAAGTTTATAAAAGATGCTCATGATTAATAAGAGCAAATAATGACTATAATTGAATGACATTCAATTAGTCATATGGCATAGTCATAGCAACATTCTAAAAGAATGAAATGTAGGAATCCCTGAATCTATGGTATATTTTTTGTTTTATTTTGTTTCTGTAACTATTTAGTGACTTTATTAACCATAAGTTATAACTTAAACAATATACTTATAATTTATATTGTTTCTATACTTTGCTGTAATATTTCATTAATATACATATAAAAATTTAGGTTTAAAATTTCAACTATGCTGGAACCAATTACCATATGTTCCATAGAAACAGCACTTTGTATAGGGCAAATTAAAATAATACAATCACTTCATAGGATTCATACAAGCACTAATTGTGACTTGCCTGTAATCTCAATATGAAATTAAGGTAATATTTAAGTTGGTATGAAAATAGTGACAATTCTACTGAAGGGATTGTGTGACCTTTTCTGTATGCTGCTATCACCAAATGAAAATATCTCAAAATCAGAAATCTGAGAGACCCATATAGACCATTTAGATATTCACCTAATTTTAAATCTATACAACCCAGTTTTATCTCCATTTTTAATTAAAATATTTTTCAAAGCAGCACATGAAATAATCCACAAACAGTCAATTTAAGAATATCTACTGTTTTATTTATTTTTTAAATATTGCTTTACTAACACAATTCTCGGAAATATGTAAAGTATTTGGAAATTATCAATGAATTAGAAATAACTTTTTAGCAAACTCTTTCACCAAACTTGATTTTATGAAGACATAAGTTACCAGTTCTGCAATATTTTTTCATCTCAATTCCTGAAACTATGTCTACATATGGCACATACTAAACGTAAGTTTTGAAAGAACAAACATAAGGCCATTAGACAATGACAGCAATAATGCTTCCACTTCAAGATAAATAGTTTAGGTTCCATCTTAGTAAGGAACATATGAGTTATCTAAGTATTCTTTTCTATGGATGCCTATAGTAGGAAGCTAAAGCTTAATATTAGTATAAGCCATACATCAAATACAGATACCCCATGCACTCTCACCTATATTCACTTTGACACATTATTTGCACGAAGGTAGCAGTTATTAATCTTATTCCTATATCATTTCCTCTCTTCAAGTAATTGCTCTGTCAGAATGTTTTTCAAGAGTAGCAATCATGTGCTTATTAAAAGGACTATTTCCGTTCTTCCTGTATAGGCTTGTCGAAGCAAATTTCTAGCAATCCTTTGATCCATATCAGATAATTAATGCAATGTTATTACTAAGGATCACCTAGATGCCTAAAGCCCTGTCTTCAATTCACAGGTTATACCAACAGCATTCAAGCAATATGGGATCGGCAAGGGAGGCTTCTTTTCAAATTGCCCTGCCTATGATCAGCAGCCATGTAAAAAGAGACTCATCTCAACTAAATTGCAGTCTTTCTCTATTAGACACATTTCTTGTTCATACGCCCAACAGGTATACTCAAGGTATAACACCACCAACAATGCCATTCTTTGGAGAAAGGACACTTGTTTGTTTGTTTTTTCTGTTTTCTGTTTTATCTTTTATGATAAAATGAAATAAATATACCTAAATAAGAAGGGATGCTTTGTACAATCACCTATTTCAAAATACATGATTAAGCCCTGGTCTAATTCAAGATGGAAAGAAAAAAAAAAAGATACTTTATTGTTCCAAAAAATTCAGAGCAAAAATTCAGCAATTACTGTTTTATTAGCTTTAACACTTAAGGCACTCTTGACATGGCGATAGCTATATTGATTTTCTCTGAGCTAACCTTCTAATTTAAAAAATAATAATTAAAAATTACATTTGTAATGTATATGGGGCAGGCACTCTAAAGGTTTTTTTTTTTAGGGGGGGCGGGTAACAATTTATGTTTAAATGCAATTCCTAATTATGTTCATAGGGCCTTGGCAACTATTGATGATTAAAAATAAAACCACGAAAACATATTCTATTTATTTATTTTTATTTATTACTACCTTTGTTATTTTTATAAATAACTTAAGGCAGGGAACACTTTGTGGCACTTACTCTTTCTCAGCCCATCTCCTCACAGAGGGGATTTTGGGGAAAATAGAAGGAGGAAGGAGTATTGTATTATTTTTCATATTTACAGTGTATTAAAACTGTCCTATCATTATCTCATATAATTTTGTTCAGCTTTTATAAATGTCCCCTATTTATTAATTCACTTCTCTCAATTAATTTGTAAAAGCTAACTGACTGCAATGCAACTGATTATTTCTATGAATGGAAAGCTTACTGATCCAGAGGAATAAATGGGAAAGGATTTTTCTTTTCAACTTCCTTTTATCCTCTGTAGCTTTCATTGCCCCTTTCCTATGCTATTCAGAATAAGGTCAATATTTTGAGAGGTCATGTGGGACTGTGAAACAGAGGTAACATTGACAAAAATAACCCTTTCAGCAGAAAAGGTAACTTTTAGCATAAGCCCTGATGTACTATATAAATATAACCTACATAGGTGGTTATATAAACACCTGTATACCAAGATATAGTGCAAATATTAATAGGGGTGCAAAAGTATAATGCATACTGAATTTTTGTAAAAGAGGCATAAAGACATTTAATAAATTTTGACATCGCAAGACTCTGAAATCCTTTGGTCATTATTAAGAAATAACCTGGTTAGGTTAACCTTCATCTTGCTTATGTATATCAAATATGATGGGGAAAGATAAGAAATTTGCATCAGAATGGATTAAGAAGGTTTGTGACTAATTACTAACCAAAACTAACAGACTGACAGAACATTATTTGTCCATGAAGAATCAAAATATATTTCATGTGACAAATTCTTGATGACTGGAATGTCCTAGTATTAGAATATAGCATTAGATGTGGGAAGTTTTTATGTCAACAGATGGCTGAGATAGATAATTTTGCACTGAGTGCATTAGGGACACTATGAAAATATAGTGCTATCCAGTATATGTGCCCTTATAAAGATTGTGTTACTGAATTTTGTTTAAAAGTATAGTTATTGCACATCAAAATGAGCTTCTATTTTTAAATTTGCTTTTTCTAAATACTCGATTATCATTTACTCTATTTGTCTAGTTACTATAGTTTAAAATACATTCCTCAAAGAATAATTTTCCAAAAGATATGTCACAACTTGAAATGAAAATTGCGCAGAAAAAAACCCATACTATACAATATTTAGTGAAGAATAAATTACATTCTGGGAAGATTTCTGTTTGCTACAATACGCAGGCACTTACTTTGGCAGCGTTTTCAAGTGATTCTCTCGTAATTCCAATATTCGTAATTTAACAAGTCTGGAAGTAATAAAGATTTTAAAATATTAGGAATTCATTAATTGCGAGGGAGTTCATTATTTCACTACCAATCATGTAAGTCACACATGTACACTGAATTATTCCTATGCACCTGCAAAATCTCAAATGACAATCATAACTGTATTTTTGCAGCTGAAATTAACAGGTTTAACTTCATTTCTGATTACATCTACAAGAGAAATATGCTAAATTCCATATTCAACAGATATTTCTAGCTTAAAATATTAACTTAGATGATATTAATAATGCATGATTGCTGGCAATGTTCTTCAGGAAATCTTGATGATCCCCACGAGAGCAATTAAAGAGGAGAAAAGTACAAAAGGCTTCAATAAATGTAGGTTGCATCAATTAATACTTTTTGAGATTTACTCAAGCCAGAGCAAATGCAAAATATCGTGAGCATGATTCAGCGTGTATACATTTATTTTGATTTTTCTATGGCATTAACAAAAATGAATTAATTGTGTCTTTGTAAGTTAATTAGTAAAGAGGAAACTTAGGAAGAAAAAACATCCTATGGAAGATAAAGGAAAGAAAGTTATTTTGAAAATGTCAAATCTTTGACAGTGATAGTAAGCTATTACTCTGGTAATTTTTAGTTTTTTAGAGAAAATAAAACATATAATGTTTTCAAGCATCTAATGATGGTTGATTAAGAACTATGGAGATATCAGGTATTTAAAATGCTTAAAATAAAACGTAATATGGCTATCTGCAGAGTAAACAATCTATTGGAAAACCTATAAAAGTTTTTTGTGGAAATATATATTTAATGCAACATGCTAAGTTTTCTATTTCTTTGTCAAGACCAGGAGATATGTTAAAATAATGAAATTACAAGATCCAATTGTAACATCAATGTGTGTAAAAACTATATAGATGCTTTTATGTTAAAGCATGCCACCAACTGACAACAATGAAAAAATGTAAAATTATAATATACCAAAAAGGGAAATGATATGTACCACATTTTGTCATAGCGGAAGACAAGTTAATATTTAGTCAAAAAGCAAGCATGAGCAAATTGCACTTTGACCTTCTAATTTTTTTCTAAAACAGGCAAAGTGAATTTGGAGTATCTAACTGTAGTTAAGATCAGTGAGCTAAAGGAGATAAGTGCAGCTCATAAATTATGTCTATGTGTAATTCTTCAGTTTGTACAATGCACATTATATTTCTGCTTGCTTTCCTTGCTTTTCTGTGAAATATCTGACATAACCTATTCACATACAAATAACTGGATACATGATATTGCATGTACTGGAAACAATTATTATGGAATGATTAAGTAGATCGGGGTCCCCAACGCCCGTTCCATGGAAGGACACCAGTACGTGGCATTCCAGCAACTGCAAACAAGCAAAGCCATGCCCCCTCTGGTCCATGGAAAAATCTTTTCCCACAGAACCGGTCCCTAATGCCCAAAAGGTTGGGGACCACTGAAGTTGACAAATCCTTATTGGATTTATTTATAGCTTTCCCAATCAATTAGTCCCAATGCCTGGAGTAAGGTGCCAAATTTCAGACTAACCCTTCTATTTAATTAAACAGTATACTGTCTCAAGATCCTAGTTAATAAACTATTCTTTCAAATGTATTGGTTAAGCCAGATATAATGTCAGGTTGCAAATTGTAATGTTAAAAAAGTTACATACTGTGATTAAAGATGCTGGTTAATTAACTGTTCTTTCAAATGTATTGGTTAAGCCATTAAAGAAAGGAAAAGAAAGGAGAAGGAACATTGTCTTACTATTTGTGTCCAGCTTCAAATTATATTTGAATTATATAGAGCTGTGGTAGCACAGTGTTTAGAATGCAGTATTGCAGGCTAATTCTGCCAACTGCCAGCTGACTGCCAGAAGTTCGATTCTCACTGGCTCAAGGTTGACCCCGTTCTTCCAAGGTCAGTAAAATGAGGACTCAGATTGTTGAGGGCAATATGCTGACTCTGTAAACTGCTGAGAGAGGGCTGTAAAGTCTAAGTGCTATTCCTATTCCTATATTAACAAAGTTCCGAAATGACTCTGTTCTAATACAGAATATTTTGAAGCAAAGATTTATTATCAAACTACAGTCATTAAAATCTGAAATGATTCTAGACAGAAGAATTATTGAGGCCAATAAGTGCTGGGAGTTGGATCTCAGGGCCAGATAATTCAGATCACTTTGCCAAGAAGAAAACATAAAGAAAATGGGAGTAGGAATCAGTAAAAAAGACTCATTTACTATTGTCAAGTTCACGTTTTAACTGTTATTTATATAGGCAAGAACAAGAGATTCCTCATTTCATAATCAGCTTTTCCCCACTTACTATCTCGACAAATGGCTATTGGTCTCAGTGTGTGCAAATGTCTTAGGAGAAAGCTTAAGCAAAGATGAAGGAGCACACAGTATTTATAGTTCTGCATAGGCATGAGTAAATCACAACAACTACTGTTTTCCAACAGTTATGAATACAATTATGTTTGCTGAAACATACATACTTTTCATAATTCTACACACATGCATTACACATATATTCTCCTTTCTTTCTGGAAGGACAAAACCTTAATATGCAGCAGTATAAGATTAGGGGTTTAAAGATGAGACAACACAACATGACTAAGATTTTGGTTTTCACAGATTTCTTCTCTTTGTAAGATCTTAATTACTTTCTAGTATACAGCAAACAAATTTTCCTGTTCAATGTGCATATTTGCATAATAAATTAAACCAGTCTGTGTGTCTGTAGAGATTCTCAGTCATCCAGATCATGGTTGTCCCAAAGGTGCTTTTTCAGCAGGCAACTGGACTTTCTTGTTTTTCCTTTGAAGATATTTCGCTTCTCATCCAAGAAGCTTCTTCAGCTCTGACAGGATAGTGGGGAATGGAAGGATTTATACTGCTTGCAGACCAGCTTTGGGACCAGCCTATGTGATTAACAGGAACATCCATTTTTTAAATCTCTATTCCATGAAGGGTGGTTTTTTTTTTTTTTTTACAATACTGGTTGTTCTTCCTAATTAAGTATCTCAAATGGCTGCCTGAAATTTGAAATAAAAAAATAACAAGAACCTCGATACAGATTTTATATTAATCATAATTTGGTTCTCTTTGTATGATATACTTAATTAAATAGGTACTTGAAATTAGCAAGAGCCATTGATAATCTTAATTATGTTGTCTCATGTAATACAGGGAAATAGAAATTGAGTGTTCATGTTACTGTAGGTAACTGTTCCTCCTCCTGTGAGATAAAAATAATTATATAACTATTTTGGGGAAGGACTAAGGAAATAGTACTCATGCGAACATTATTTGCTCTGCCATCCATGACTATAGATCAATAATTTGTAGGATAGCGAAAACCAGATATAAAAGCAAATGATGATTTGCTATAAATCAAAAGTGAATTAAGTAGAAAATACCAACAAAGGAATATGCAAGCAAAGGATTTGTTCCTACATTTCTGAATCACTAAACAGAACTATTATTTGTGGTGCTTGTAAATTCCCTACGTCTTTGCTATTTTAGCATTTCTAACTTCTTTCACCAATACTAGATATACAGTTGTTTTATATATTATCAAAACACACTTTCTAGAACAGTAGTAATTTACTGTCACAATAATTGTAAAATATGTATCTGACAAATTGGTAATATAGTATATTTATAGAAAGGAAAATAAATGAATTAAAATAAATATTAATTTATTGGCTCAACATTGGAAGAGACATCTTGTTGGCAATATCAGGCTGGGAAACCAAACTTGGGGAATACACAGAAAAGGTGAAATTAATAGTACAAAGAACTGAAGTTTGATTAAATGTAAGAAGAATGGCTCCCTTGTATATTATGTACAGATTCATACACTTAAGAGTATAATTTTTAAGGAGAAAATAATTGAAAAATATTAACTAGAAACCATTTCCTTGTTTTATAAATATGTTGATGCAACCAGTTGAGTACAAATAGAGAAAAATAAAAACCATGTAGCTTCCCTATATTATTTACTTTATTTTTTTTCTTTAATTTTTTTTCTCTGGAATGGGAAAGTTCATAATTATTTGTAAGACCCATTATACAAAAAAAATCTTCTAATTAAGAGGCAATTCACATATGTAAAACTTACCTTCCAAAGTTAGCTGGAAGAAATTCCAGAAAGGCATCATTTAGATATAGCTGGGCCAAATTTAAAAGCTGCGTGAAACCATCTGGGAGCCTAAAACAATGAGTAAAAATTTTAGCATTGATGCTGGAGGAATTGTTAAAATTTAAATCCGAACAGGTCCATATCCTCAACCACATGCTTACCACCTGACCCATTTGTTACAGGTAACAGTTTGCCTGTTATAAAACAAGTAACACAGTATACTACAGTATTGGATAATATAAGCTTATACCATTTCTTTTGTTTGTCTATGTCTATGCTTCCCAGTCTTTTGGCTAAGATCAAGATTAAAGATTAAATTTCAAAATAACTAGATGATCTACTTTTTACAGCAACTAGAACCAATAGCATTATGAACATGCAAGTTTATAATGAGTGAGGATTACTGCTATGGAAAACATATTGCCATTTATCATTCTAAAATAGCCACAAAATATTATTATTTATAAGACTACATGCTGTAACATTATTTGCATTGCTCAATCAAAAAGTATATGTAAAATAAAACTGCATGGAAGAATTAATAGATTAGTATTGTGGAGTTTAAATTAAATAGAGGGCAAAGGACAAGGCCACTAATTTATGCATAAGGGGGGAGGTTTGATGTATTTCATCTAAAATATTGATAATATGAGTTAATTAAAAAACATTTTAAGGCATCTTAAATTCACTCCATGAGTATTTTCATGAATAATTTATTAACAAAATCATAAATAACCAAATAAGATGAACACAAAAGAACGTAAATAATTCCCAAACAAGACAATAAGTACTATAAACCACAGCTCTTTAGTTGAGATCTATCACTGTTTTCATTTCCCAGTTTTATATCATATCATTGGTGAATTACATCTTTTCAAATTGATTGATTGATATCGTGCAATCTATATTTCTTTGTAATTAAGGGAATGGCAACTATTTTTCAACAAATATGCCAACTTATGATTCTTGGAATAATCTTTGTTTACAGTCTGCCCGTATATATGATATGATTTGTCTATTCAATTTTTTATAGAAAGTTCGGTAATCCCGAGTTCTAATTGGAACAAAACTCAATTGTATTCCACAGGTTTACTTTTCATGACAGTGTTATAAAACTTAGCCTTAGCCTATGTATTTCTTCCCTCAGTGTAACAATTTCTGTAAGTGATCCTTACTGCTACATACCGCCCAGCTAGATGGAAGCACCTATCTAATTGGATTTTGAAAAGCCAAGGAGGATTAACTCTGGATAGGAGATTACTAATTTATATAAGGGTCATAGGTTGGATTGGAAAGCTGAAAAAAAAATCTCAAAGGAATAAACCACTTGCATTCTGTTTTCAAGAAAGTTACATGGACTTAGCCATGAAATCTCCACAAATCAAGCTCAACTCAGTGGACTTATTTTTATTGTTACATCTCATTTTATTAGTATCATCTCTTCAATGTCATTCTAACGCATCTTATGGATGGTGCTGTAGATCTTGTCACAGATGCTTCATAACAAGTATTAAAAGAGATGCAATTGAAGAACAAAACCAGCTGTTAAGAAATAGGAATGTCAAATATCATTGGTCCAAGTACCAATCATAAAATAGAGCTTTTCCTTTTCCTTTAATGTAAACTCTTCTGGAAAATTAGGTTTTTCACATTTCCAGAACTATGTTTTTTATAAATTCATGTCTGATGAATTATGAATCCTGAAACAACTTACCTCTGATGCATTTACTAATTTTATTTGCTGTTTTTAAAACAAGGACAGTTCAAAGATGAATGTTTGACACATGATAGAATGTTCTACCATCCATATTAATTTACAAGCTTGCACATAGGCAAGACTCTTTGTAGAGTGTATGTGAACTACCAATATTCTTCCCTATCATCTAAATTACAAATGGCAATCAATAAATTATTTCAAGACAAGCTTTGTGGCAACATGCAAATTTTCTGCCATATTCATATTTCTATCTTTGTTATAAAAATGACTGCTCTGTCCATATGATATACCTTCACCAAAGATTGCCATATGTTAAACCCTGCATACATAAAAGAGGCAAAGAAAAAATTCCATTGATGAACACTTACTTAGAAATAGGATTGACACTTGCTTCAATTATTGTTAAACACTTACAGCACTTTATATTTTCTGGAAAATCTTGAATCCCTAAAAGAAAAACAAAGCTGTTACATCTATGAACACAACTGATTACTTTCCTCATTTCTTCATTTCAGTAGAAAAAGGTAAGCCCTTCATTTAATCTTAAACAATTCTGAACTCTTTGAACTCATGACAAATCCCATGGCTCAGTCTTATCAACATATATTAATATTTTTGCATAGATTTTACTCATACATATTTAATATAATTACTCATATTTCACTTGGTTTCAAAAGTTCCTGGAGCTGAATAATAGTTTCCTGAACAACATAGTTATCTACCAATACAAAAAAGATCAGTTATGCAGGAAAGGTTTTGTTGAATCTAAATTATATCTATAAACCATTATTTGTATCTGAAATAAAAGCTAGCTTCTTGGATAAAGTAACTATAAGCAAGCATGAGGATGAGTGCACTATTGAAAGTCGATACTAGGGACATATCTTCATTGAAAACATCTATCTTATGATTGCTAAGAGTCAACAATGACTTGACATAATCAAATAAACACAGTTAATAGCCCCTAGACACTTGTTATTAAAATATTTTCCATATATGAGAGGTGTATTGTGCGACATTTACGTTATAAAATATGCTATGAAACTCATAATGATGCAATTCATTTCTAAAGGATTTTTTTTAGTTTCTCCATTCTTGGTATAATGTAGAAGTATAGGCTTACTAAATTTAGATGACATGGAATGTAATTCATTCACATTCTGAAACTGGAGAAACAGTAAGTTTTATTATTCTTTCAGCACAAGGTCAAACAATGACAAAAAGTATAGCAATCATTTTGAAGATCATACTCTGACATAATAACTAGATACGATATAAGCCTATCCGTTCTGGATATACTTAAAGATTAAAAGCCTTTCTTAAATGAAAAGCTCTGAGTTATTGATGTAAATGAACAAATGTTATAAATCCTAATGAAACCTTACAATTGTGCAACCACCATATAAATATCTAAACCATATGACAGAAATACTACATATGTCAGAGATGGTGAAATTTTTGGGCTCTATGTGTCAAAAATTCAGAAAGCAATTTGACTCTTCTATTGTGTTACACCTGCCCCTCTAATCAAAAGAGAAACAATTCTCTATCCCTCCACCTATATCCAGGCCCTTCTGAGCAGTGGCACTTGACTGCAGTGCTAAGGTTGGTCCTGAAGTAGAGGCCTAGGCCTTGACTTCAACGCTAGAGCCACCGCTCAAAAAGGTTGCCTCCCACTGTTCCCCAAGCAAGGTATGATTGCCCCATGGACCAGCACTCCCCAGATCTGCCGCATGCAGTTTACCTTCAGGCAGTGATCTCTTTTCGTTAAGATCTGGGAAGTGCTGGTCCATGGGGCAATCATACCTTGCTTGGGGAACAGGAGGAGTAAAGGCTCTAGGGTTGAAACTCAAGGCCTAGGTCTCCAGTTCAGGCCCAGCCTTGCTGTCAAGTACTGCTGCTCAGAAGGGCCTACCTGAGTTTTCTTTGGGTTGCACAAGGCCTTTGTTCGTGAAATGGCTTCAGAGAATGCTCTTCTGTGGCCTGTGTAGACCGTATCCTC